GTTGCCGCCGATGTTGCTGTGGTTCCGTCCTGCATCCTGCCCCAGATTGTTTGTTGAATTAGTGGTGTGATTGACTGATTTCGTTAGCTGAAAATGTATTTCTTTTCTAAACTGCTCGCTGTATTAGATCTGAGGCTGTGTGCTTTGTTTTCACTTATTAATACTATATATTGTTATTCTATAAACTGTAGGTTGGGAATCACCATTTACTTTAAAATGTTTTCTCTTAGTTTGTGGCAGCGAGGGAGAAAGGGAAGTTTGTTGTAATTTTATTTGGGGTACTTTATATTTTAGCAGGTAAATTAAGATTATTTCCCAGCAAGTTAGCTGTCTTTTTGTTTGCTATTTTGGCCTGGATTCCCTTCCGAAGAGATGCTTCTGAGATCTTTATTGTTTAAAAATTGTTTAAAAGATTTTTGTTTAAAAATTTCTTGATAAACTGGTTGCGATTATTGTGAGCTGGGACAGGAGAAAGGGAAAACCCTAAATTGAGTATTTAAAAGTTTAATTTATTTATTTATTTATACTTTTGATATTGTTCCCGACAACCCTAGACTGGTCGGGACGTAACTATAGGAAATAAAAGTAAGCAATCAGTCAGTGTACAGAATGTAAGTGGTTACATTAAGTATTAACTTATATTTGCGCTCAGCCAAAACACGTTACCTGAGAACAAGTAATAGTTTCAAAAGACCAAAGTCGGGGAATATGACGTTAGATATAGACAACAAGATGAATTAAATATCGTGTTTATCAAATATAGTGAGATTAGATCCAGAGATAGATTCTTGATGAACAGTCCGACAAGCACAGCTCTCATAGACGCTGCAGCGCATTCCAGAGTGTTTGTGGTCACGTGATGTGAGTTTTCAGTAGTGTGGTGTAGACGGAGAGCTGTTCAGAAACACTGGGTGAAACGCTAGTGTGGACGCGGATCGTTTTCATTCTAAAACGTTTTAAAACTAAAGTGTAACCGTTTGTTACTTGTGTAAACGGGGCCTCAGCGAGATGAGAGGGTGTCTTTTCCAACAGTTGGTTTGTTAAGCACACTCACCTGTATGAGACAAACTCAGGAATGTATGGGGAGGGGGGAGGGTGTGGATGAGATTTCAGAAGGGGGTAAATTGACTGAAGGTGAGGGCTCTAACAGCCTGTTGAAAAAAAGTTGTTGGGTAGTCTAGCCGAGCAAGCTCTAATACTTCGAAACCTTCTTACTGGAAGAGACTGTGGAAGGGATGAGTAAAGTCTTTCACAATACTGCTAGGTTTGCTGAAGCACGGTGAGAGGATAATGTCCTGGATGGAGGATAAAGGGGAACCAATTATCTTTTCGGCTGTGTTCACTGTGCACTGGAGAGTGTTGTGGTTGGCAGCACTGCAGCCACCATACCACACAGTGATGCAGTTGTTCAGCACGCTCTCAATGGTTTCCCTGTAGAATGTTATGAGGATGGGTGGAGGGAGACTTGCCGTTTTTTGCCGGCAGAGAAAGTGTAGGCGTTGTTGTGCCTTAGAGAGGGAATTGATGTTGTTAGTCCAGGTGAGATCCTCTATGATGTGCACTCCCAGGAATTTAGTGCTGCTGACTCTCAACAGTTGAGCTGTCGATGGTCAGTGGGGGGTGGTCAATGGAGTTTGGAGGGAGAGTTCTCTTGAAGTGTTTTGAAATGGTAATTTTTTGTTCCATGTATGACGTAATTCAACTGAAACATGAAGATAGGGGGTGACATAGACAAACAGCCAATAGCATTTTGTAGCTATTAGCAACTCTGCCAGTGAGAGTGGTTAAGGTCAATCGCATCAAATGAAAGCAAATGAAGCTTCTGGAATGAGGTGGGACATGTCTGATACGAGAGAGCATTTGATTGGTCAGAAGATGAGAACCGAAGTATGAAGTGATATAAGATTTAAAAAAAAAAAAAAGTATTTTTTTTCTTAATGCAACATGAGGACTTTTTAAAATAAGTTTTAGTTTTTTTTTATTGTTGTTGTTTTTATGTTTTAGGTTTAGTCGGATTTTGTTTTCTTTGTGTGTGATTTTGTTTAACTGTGTTTTGTTAGACTTGGCTTGGATTTGCATTTTGTTTTAGTCTTGTGTTGTTTGCTGGTATTTTATTTTGTTTTGCTTTTTGCTTTGCTTTGGTGTTGTGTTTTGTTTTAGTCCTGATATTTGTTTTTCATTTTGTTTTGTTTAGCAGTCTGTTATATACTTTTGCTTTTTGATCTGTTTTGTTTTGTTTTGTTTTGTTTTGTCTTGATTTTGGCTTTTCATCTTGTTTTGTTTAGTGGTCTTTTATTTAGTTTTGCTACTTGATTTGTTTCTTTTGCTTTGTTTTAGTCTTGATTTTTGTTTTTCATCTTGTTTTGTTTAGTCGTCTTTTTAGTTTTGCTTTTTGATTTATTTGGTTTGGTTTTGTTTGATTTTATTGTATGTTATGGTGCACATTTGCTGTACAAACAGCCTTTTCAACTTAATTTTAAATGTAATTTTTTTTTATTTGAAAACAAGAATTTCTGTACAAATTATTGTCTGTTACACTGTGCACATTTATTTATTTGCAATCTGAATAAAATATTAATTTAAAATACTCTATAATTATGTATACTCCTCACATTTAACTTTTAAAAAGTTAGAAAGAAATCAAGCCTAGTAATGCAACTATAGCCAGTATGTCACATTTCATTTATAAATTGTGATCATTTTAGTCTCAGTTTTGCTTCTCTGTCTCTTGCATTTTTTTCCGCCCGTATCTCTTTATCGCAGGTCAAAAGCAAATGATTATTTTTATAAAGGCAATCTGCCAGGGCACCGTTTTAGTTACCAAGCAACATAGCGATCAGAGCCAGTGTATTTTGCTTAAATTAGACACTGACGAGACAGTTAACGAGATGAATGGCTGTAATGGAAAGCTTCAGCATTACATTCTTGTTTCATTCTAAAATACGCTCATTACAACAGTGACCCACAGCGGAGTCCTACAAACCAAAAGGCATTCATGTTTGAAAACCGCAAAAAAAGTCACAATGCGTTTGCGTCTGGTTCATGATCGGGGCTAATTTAGATGTAATTGGTATCCTTTGGCGAAGTACAGAGTGAAAGGAAAAGAAAAGTGGAAGAAATTGCAGATAACAAATGCCACAAATGAAGTGGCGGCATTAGGTTAGTGAACTCGCACATTTTTGACAGCTTTTTTTTTTAGATTCTTGTAAGACCAATGCTCTTCAATGCTCTGTAGTTCAAAATATTGAATATATTGTGTGGCACAGAAGAAACCTAAAACAAAGATAATGGTCAATATGGTCTTCTTTCTTTGTTGCAGGCTTTTTTGTTGTCTGTTTTTCAAGTAATTCATAGATTGAACTGCACCTAAATGTTCTGATCAAACTGTAAAGGCTAGATTAAAATGTTTTAAAAAGGATTGTTGTTAATTAATCATATCTGCTGGATGAGTCCAACATTGTCATCCTTGAATGAATTTTTCTTTCTTATTTATTTATTAATTTTTGTTTTTTGCAGAGCTGTAGGTTATGGTAAAAAGTATTCAACACATCACCATTTTTCTTAGAAAGCATATTTTAGCATAAGGTCCAGTTGGCTTGAAGTTTTTCCCCAGAATTGGTAACAACCAAAAAATCCGTAAGTGAAATGAAAACAAATCTACTTAGTTTATACAAATTAAGCTTTATGCAATACAATTAAATGATGTAAGAGAAAAGTATAGAACACATGAAGAAAGGGAGGTGTAGAAAGGCAGTGAAAGCCCAGACACCAGCAGAAATCTCTGGGTAGGTAATTCAGCAACCCCCTCTGCTCTTTTTCATTGTAAATTAAAATTCACTGCTTCAGTTCAACAAACCAGCAGGACAATGATCCAAAACACAGCCAAGGAAACTCTCAAATGCTTTCAGAAAAAGAAAATCAAGCTGTAGAAGGGCCCACCCAATCACCTGACCTGAATCCAATAGATCAGATTTGATAGACGAGACACAGAACCAATTAAGATTTTTACACTCTGAAGTGAAAATGTGACTTCATTCTTCACATCTGTCTGTTTTTTTAAACCATTTTGTATGTGTGTGTGTGTTTTTTGTTTGTTTTTGCTTTGTGTTTTAATGTTTTGTTTTGTTTTCTTGTCTGGTTGATCACAATATTTTAAACAAACAAACAAATAATAATAAAAATAAATAAATAAATAAATAACATAAAAATTGTTAAATAGAAAATATTTTGGAGGGAAATGTACAAATTATACCCCAGTTTATAAATACAATTTCTGTTGTTGTTGTTATTATTATTATTATTATTATTATTATTATTAATATTATTATTATTATTAGTAGTAGTAGTAGTAGTAGTAGTAGTAGTAGTAGTATTATTATTGGGCTACACAGTGGCGCAGTGGGTAGCTGTTTTCCTCCCAGCAAGAAGGTTGCTGGTTTGAGCCTCGGCTAGGTCAGTCCCTTTGTTCGGGTGGTTTTCATCTGGATGATCCGGTTCAAAGTCCAAAGACATGCAGTACAGATGAATTGGGTAAGCTAAATTGTCCGTAGTGTACTGTATGTGTGAATGAGTGTTGTATGGATGTTTCCCAGTTATGGGTTGGAGCTGGAAGGGCATCCGCTGCGTAAAAAAACATGTGCTGGATAAGTTGGCGTTTCATTCCGCAGGGGCGACCCCGAATTAATAAAGGGACTAAGCCGAAAAGAAAATGAATTATTATAATTATTATTTGTATTCTGTTTAGTTTTATTTTGATTTAAATTTGTGTGTAATTTTTGTATACCTTATCTTTTAATTTATTTATTTTAATTATGTATTATTGGTTTTCATCTTCTTTTGTTTGGGTGTATTTTATGTTTTGCTTTTTTGATTTGTTTAGTTTACTGTAGCTTTGTGTTACATGTTTTTTTTTTTTTTTTGGTCTTTTTTGTTGAAATAAGTTTTAAAGTAAAAAAATATTAACTAAAAGTAAAGGCAAGGCTATAGAAAGCTCAATTTTAAACATTTTGAACATATTTTCGCTGTAATTACTGCTCAAATGCACTTTAAATCTAAAATTTTCAGTGTAAATGTAAAATCTGTGTGCTGTGAATGACAGTTTCCTATCTCCAGTATTTCCTATATTTTCCTATTTTCATATCGGTTCACTATTATTACTTTAAAGCTGTAAATTGGATTTATGATCATGTAAAATTTCAGCCTGTAGTCTAATCAAAATAACAGTACATTCATTGTACCTGCAGTTCTTTTTATCTACCGAAAATGTGTTTGCTAATCATATCAACCCATTAAATGAGTCATAACTGTCCAAAGAACGAATCTGTTGAATATGTGGCCTGTTGCTTGTTTTTTTCACCTTTATGCTCCTCGCTCTGTGTTTCTCTCTCAGTGAAGGAGCAGTTCTTGGGCCTGTAGGTGGCTGGAGTATTGCCAATCACGACTGGAAGACGGAAAGAAAGGAGGGAGAGAGGGAGGAATAGAAGATAAGCGCGAGGATCTTTACATTGGACTCTGTTGATGCGCAGAAAATGGTGGGTTGACGCACACACACACACTCACACACACACTGATTCGCACAATGACAGATAAACGTGCACAGACTCATTATAAAGCAACAAGAGCACATAGCCTTGCGTTGTGTTGAGCGATCTGCTGTTATTGACTGAATCTGAGAACTTCTGTAGCGTTTCTTTCATCGATTTTATTTTGAAGGGATCTATTGTGGGTTTCTGTGAGATGGAAGTGACTGAAATAATTACCGTTAGACATTCAGCTGCAAACACAGTCTTGTTGGCTCGTTTGGCTCATATGTGCTTTAACCTACATTATTGTGAATCTGCAAAAACGGACTTTAACTTAGAAATGTTTCAAGGTATGTTTACATTTACATTTAGTATAACTTTTTGTCCAAGTGAATTACAATTGAGGAGGTATTCAGAGATTCAATAAGAAGAGGCAATACATACAAGAAATGTTAGTTATTCAAAGTAACTTGTTTGTGCTCAGACAATTTTGTGCTACAGTAGGATTTTTTTGAGAGAGAGAGAGAGAGAGAGAGAGAGAGAGAGAGAGAGAGAGAGAGAGAGAAAGAAAGTGCTTCTATATGTGGTTTTGGTATTATTCACCGAGGTTCATGTGTGCTTTGAAGAGGATTTTAGCTGTTGTTTGAAAGATATTAGTATAATCGTAGTCCGAGTGGGAATTGGACGATGATTCCTGCAGCGAGGAACTTTGAATAAAAACACTGAGGGTCAAATGAACTCTACTGTTCCTTTTCACACTAATGATACTTTCAGAGACATATCATTAATGAATAAAGGATCATTTGTGTGCGTTTTAAAATAAATACCACAAAACACCTTAACAGTGTCTATGATGTGTAGTTGAAGGTAGTGTATTTCAATTTATTTATTTATTTTTTACATTTATTTACCAGTATCCCCATTAGGCACTACCAAGGTAATGACTATTCTTCCTGGGGTCCATCGAGCACAAAACAAAATTACATTAATCCATAACAACAGAGACCAATAAAAAACATAAAAATCCAAAATTCATACTTAACATCCAGATCAACATTTCACTTAATATTGTTCTCATTTTACTTGTTACAAAGAATGTAATGTCTGATGGCAATTTATTTCATGTTTTCATTCCTCTATACTGTACATTACAGTCCATTGCTTTGTATTAGTTTTTGAAACAGGAAGCAAAAAATGTCCTTTTGATACATGCCTGGTGTTAAAATTATGACCAGCATTACTATATAAAAGTTGACAGTACAATAAACTTGGAACTCTTGACACAGAAATAGTTCTTATGAAACAGAGAAGCAATTACCCTATCCTTCACCAATAACCAAGTCTTTTAATTTCCATTATGTTCACCCTTCTATTCAGTGTAAAATTAGTCATGCCACTCTATTCTGGACTAATTGTAATTTATCCAAGTCTTTACTTGATGCCCTTGTACAACAACTATACAACAAAACGTACAATTGCACAACAAAACGTATGTTAAGTAACCTATTTTATTTTATGTTTATGACTTTTTATCATTATTATTCATTATTAGTCATTATTATGACTTTTTCAAAGCTTAAGGTTTTAGATTTTATTCTGATATACCGAGGTTTTTATAATAAACTTAATCTAAAACCATTAAAGCTATTGTTTGTTTTTAACATTAAATTAATCAAAGTGATCAAATTGGAAATTTAATCAAATAAATCAAATTAAACTGATCAAATTGAAAAAAAAGGATTCTCTTAAAATTTGGTTATTTTAGTATTTATTTCTTTATTATTATTTTTATTATTACTATTATTACTACCACTACTTCTGATAGTAACTACAACTGATGACAACTGATAACAAAAATAATAAAATGTACAAAAATCTAAAAGACTGAAAGCGTTAATTTTAGTTAATTGTAAAAAAATATGCATACTATATATATATATATATATATATATATA